ATAAAGAAGGCTTTATGGGAATCCTTTGTCTTGCAACTTCGAAAAAAACAGGTGAGCACTATTTTTTTGCATACAAATGCCTCAAATATTTGATTGGGGCAGTTCTGTGTCTGAAGAATGTCATAGCATATACTAGTACAACACTGAAATTTACCGAACCTATACTACTACAGAGTTAAAATGTCTAGCCGTAGTCTGGACTGTAAAAATGTTTGAAACATACTTAGGTGGAGAAGAATTTACAGTGATCACTGACCATGCTGCGTTGAAACTATTACAAACACCTGAGAGGTTAACTGGTAGACTGATGCATTGGTCATTAAAGATGCATGACTTAACATTTGAAATATTTCACAGAAAACGAACAGAGAACCAATATGGTACTGAACAAACTAAAGATAACAAGTATAATCATATTGACTCGTACTTGAAAACTGGAAAGTTGTCAGATAATTCTAATATAGGTATAGAGACTGGAAATAAATCCAAACACCATGCTTTGAATGACAATATTTTTTATTACACAAAAATAGGTTGCTAGTAATGGTGAATTCAGGGCAGTCATTCCCAAAACATTGAGACTAGCATTGTTAATAGAAGTGCATCATCATCCTATGGCTAGGCGTTCGAGAATCCATATATAAAGTATTCAGACGTGGTTATTGGCCTGGTATGAATAAGGACATTAAAAATTATGTGCTACCAAGCCATGTCAAACCACCAAATTTGACCAGAAATAGCTTGCAGGATTTATACAAAGCACTAGACTATTGAAACCTGGTGAATAAATTTCGTGGAACTTTATCCTAAATCTACTACCAGGAGTAGTTATTTTTTGTAAATGAGTTGAATTGCATCCTCTCAAACAAATAACAACTAAGGTGATAGTGAAAACATTAATTAGTGAATACTTGTGTAGATATGGTATTCCAAAGACTCTTGTATCTGATAATGGACATCAGTTTGTGTCCTATTTGACATACGAGACTAGTAAAGCTATGGAAGTTAAATATATATTTACAACTCCATATCATCCTCAATCTAATATTACTCAAAGAGTAAATAGAAATATAAGTAGAATGATATCTGTATACGTTAAGAAAAATCATTGAACGTGGGACAAGCATTTACCCGAGTTTTCTCTCGCAAATAAAACTTCTATTCACGAGTATACAGGTTATACGCTAGCCAAACAACGTTTGAGACGAGAGATTTTCCTTCTTTCGGGACAACTGACGAAATACCCAACGGCACCTCAAACCGTGAATGAGCGAACAGCAGAATTGAAAAACGCCATACGGGAAGCAAGATCCAATATTGAAAAGGCTCATAAGCAACAGCATCAAGCATATAACCGTAAGAGACGCCCAGATATTTTAAAGTAGGAGTGACTTAGTATTATTAAGGACATAGCCATTATCTTCTATTGTAAATATTTTAACGGAAAATTTGTTCCGAGATACAAAATAGAAGATACTAGACCAGGTCGAATTATAGGATGATTTTATGTTTCTAATATAAAAAGATACATATATTTTTCTAGTGAAAATTCTCTGGATACCAGAGAAGATAATAATCGTCCTAGGCAGTTGCGGCAAAACAGAAATGTCAAGTATAGTATACTTGGAAGTCTTCACCCTATAAAACAAGACTTCTGCTGTTGTGTCCATTCTTCAAGGGATCCTGCTAATGACCTACTTATGTCTTCTGCTCAACCTACTCAAAGGACACTATGGCTACGTCGCAGAGTTGGTTATCGTAGTTTAGCTGGTCTTCGAATTGTTAATAAACTTTCGGTAAGCAGAACCAGAGCAAGACGCTAGTGAAGATCGAGCTGAATATTCCAGAAAATCAATTGTTGTTTTTCTTTGTAAGGTATATGTACTTAAACTGTAAAGGATTTCTAGTGTCAGTATAAAAGGGAAGATAAAAGTAATGTACGAAAATTGGGATACTTTGTACTAAGTGATTTAATTATATCACTTCGTTTTTCTTAGGGTGAAGGAATGTGAGATGGCGAAAAACTACTTTTATTTTGTTTACTGTTCCTTTATTATTTCTTCTATAGTTTATTCCAACTATGAATTTTTAGTTATATTATAGCGCTACCTCAATTCTAGAGAGAGCATGTTTATATCATAAAACTGACAAAAGCTTCCTCTACCGGTGACGTTACAGATATGAAAGATTATGTACATTAGCCAGTCACATGAGATGTAACCTCGTGGACTAACCACTAAATAAAAATCCTTCCTTGATCTTAAACGAGTTAGTTCACAAGATATGGTGAAAACGAATTATTGCTGATTATTCTTTGAATATTGGTTTTTCGGAAGTAGGTTTTTTCTTCTTTTGAAATTAATAACATTGATATTTTTGTCCTACTGTTTATTAACGTTTATATCAAGTCTTGACCAGGCACGAAACTAATGTTGTTTTTGTGTGTGAGAGAGTTTATTTGTTTGTAATTAAGCACAAAACTACACAATGGGCTATCTGTGCTCTGCCCACCACGGGTATCAAAACCCGGATTCTAGCGTTGTAAGTCTGCAGACATACCACTGTGCTACTGGTGGGCGTGTGAGAGAGAAAATTTGTATTCCAATCGTTTAAAAAGCTTTATTTTTTTAGTTCTGTGGTTTTAAAGTTTAATAATTTTTTGTTTTACCTTAGTTGTAGCGGTGTTTTGTTCTAGTCCATTACACTACATATTCACGATAACTTAAAACAAACAAACATTCTGAGATGTATTAGGACACGCCAAGGATGCCGTACCATTTGATGGTGGCTCCATCTCTTGCTAACTATATACTTTTAAAGAAAACATATATTAAGCATTCGACTGTTCAATTTGACACAGCTCACGTGGATTCTATCACGATTACAGTGATACAAAATTGATAGATATATTTAACTTAGTAAAAAAATTGAATATTTGTTATAAAAGATTGAGTGTTTCGAAGAGACCCAAAGGTGTTTAGAAAATATTACAGTAGTTACATCTGTTTCGGTGTAAACTATTATACATTAAGTTCATGAACTATCAGTTTTAAGCTATTACACATTAGAATTACGTTTGCGATTTTTATTAATATAAATTTATTTATATATTTTAGCACCAAATTACATAGCATTAATACTATCTATTTACTTTACTTGAATGAACATTCAGAATGACTGACGAACCACTAAACAATTTGTTTTGTTACAATATCTAATATTGTAATTGAATAATTTATAAATGATATAAATGCTTAAGTAAAACGGAAACATAATTTTTGACCATTATTAACCGACTTAAGTCTAAAATGTTCACTATCGGTGGGGGTCCACATATTGTATAATTTAGTCCACCCACGCTTGGTGTAATTTTAGATTGACTACAAAATCGTGAAACCACTCGTTTTCTATGTCACGTATATCGGGAACGACATAATTAATTGCTGATATTAATGGCAATATACAGGCAGTATCTTGTTTACATTTTTACAATGTAGTTTAGAGACTCTGTAACAAACAATTACAGACACCACAAACGTGATTCCAAAACAAGTAAGGTTCATATAGTCCCCACTGGTTGTGCTAGGGCGAAATCTTCTCGCCGCTTTCGCAGACTTGTACTTTGCATAAACAAATTTACGAGTATCTTGTTTTACTCGTCAAATTAACAATGACGGAAAAAAAACGGTGTGTGTACTCGACCATAACATGTAGTCCCAGTCACATCCTGTTTATTTTGCCTTCAGTTGAGGCACCATATATATACACCTGGAAAAAAGTTAAGCACTCCCGTGTTTTTTTCAAGTGATTCAGATTCGACGTTCTTGTGACTGATTATAAATTACCATTCAATCTAAACGTGTTTATCAAATGAAATTATGCATTATT